GAAATCAGAGATAGAAATGGTGTAGCAAAAGATATATTTTCTTTGTTTCAGCGTGCTTATAGCGTAGCTCCTAGACATGGAAAAAAAACAAGTTTATTTTTCTTAGCAGAGATGGATAGATGCAAAAGAAGTTGATCGTTTGGAAGATGACATGGCAGCCAAACAAGAAAAAAAACAACATAATTTTACGCTGGTTTACAATGTGTATTTCTCCTGACGCCAAGGTGTAAGAAGTAATTAAAGGGTGGTCCTAAGTTAGAATAACAGATGCACTGGCAGGATTCTCAAAGAAAGAAAAACAGCTTCTGTCGAGTAAAAATGGATCATGGAACAAATATGAAAAATGTCGATCGGCATATATATCAAAGAAACTGTCATTTTTGAGAGTCATGGTTATGTTTTTCTAAGCCACAGAAAATATAGCCAATTGGGCAGATGTAAAATTAGTGTACAAGCCAGGTTTATCTTGAAAAGTTTAGAGTGTAATGCCAACTATTTCCTAGATTTAGGGGAATCTAATAAGTAACATAGATACCGCTCAAATTAACATGTTTTTTAGGTAATAAAATGTCACTTTCCCTGAACTTCAGCCCCTGCCAACAGAATTAATGAACAAAGAAGGAGCTGTTTGTTGGATGTCATTTCTATCTCTTTTAGAACCATTTTTCGGTTGAAGCATGTTTTCCCATGTCAATCTGACACTCTCCATTGCAGAACTCGGCTGGTTGGAGAACAGTAATGGCCGCAGACGTGTTTATTTCAGCCATTTACTCATTAAATCATAAAAGCCCGTTTACACTTTGGTGCTGATGATAACCACATGCCTGGCATATTGTTTGATACACTTTTGGTGGAGATGTTTATTTTCTTTTTTAGACAATATAATAACAGCGGGCAGTGAGGTGACGGGGAGGTTCATGGCTGCCCTGAGTGATGTATGGTCAGTTAGGAGTCCAGCAGAAGACTGAGGCTTAGGATGATATTGGTAAGAGTCGGCAGGTCATTGCTTCCTCAGCAACCAAAGAGGATTCTTATGGACAATGGATTCTTATGGATATAGACAATGGAAAACCAAACCCTAGACCATGATTTATGAAGTGGGAAATGCAATTATGCAAATGCCCCCCTTCCTTCCTGTAATTATTCTCATGTTATTAATAAAAGTTACAAACTTCAGACAAAGCAATACAGAATTCCCCCTATTCTTTTATTTGCAGTAATTTATTTTAACTTTAAACTTTTGCCTTGATGTCAGTGAGATGCAGTTTTGGTGTACAAATTTTCAAATTTTATAGAAGTTGAAAATTTATTTCTTCATTTCATTGATCACTGACTACAAATATTAATCCTGTACTCTAAAGCAACAAAAATAAATACTTCTATAGGATTTGAAAATAAAGCCATGTTGAACCATTCCTTGAACTTGCAGGAATAAAAACAATATAGATATATTGACACGAAATGGTTTCTGAGTTTGACAATATAGCTGGTCATAAAATTTTTATGATATATCCAGCAGGAACAACAACATTAGATGATGTAGTGAGTGCATTAGGAAATGTGCGCTTTTTAGCTCACCTGAGCCGAAGGCTCAAGTGAGCTTTTCTGATCACATTGTGTCCGTCGTCCGTCCGTCTGTCCGTCCGTCTGTCCGTCTGTCCGTAAACTTTTCACATTTTCGACTTCTTCTCAAGAACCACTGGGCCAATTTTGACCAAACTTGGTACAAAGCATCCTTGGGTGAAGGGGAATTTAAATTGTTAAAATGAAGGGACATATCCCCTCGCAAGGGGAGATAATCAAGAAAAGACAAAAATAGGGTGGGGTCATTAAAAAATCTTCTTCTCAAGAACCACTGGGCCAGAAAAGCTGAAACTTGTGTGGAAGCATCCTGGGGTAATGTAGATTCTAAATTGTTCAAATTATAACCCCCGGGGATTGGGTGGGGCCACAATGGGGAATCAAAGTTTAACATAGAAATATATAGGAAAAATCTTTGAAAATCTTCTTCTCAAGAACCACTGTGCCAGAAAAGCTGAAACTTATGTGAAAGCATCTTTGGATAGTGTAGATTCTAAATTGTTCAAATCATAACCCCCGGGGATTGGGCGGGGCCACAATGGGGAATCAAAGTTTTACATAGAAATATAAAGGAAACATCTTTGAAAATCTTCTTCTCAAGAACCACTGGGCCAGAAAAGCTGAAACTTATATGGAAGCATCCTGGGGTAGTTTAGATATTGAATTGTTAAATCCAAGAACCCCGGGAGTAGGGCGGAGCCACAATAGGAAATCCAAATTTTACATAGAAATATATAGAAGAAATCTTTAAAAATCTTCTTCTCAAGAACCACTGTGCCAGAAAAGCTGAAACTTATGTAGAAGCATCTTTGGATAGTGTAGATTCTAAATTGTTCAAATCATAACCCCCGGGGATTGGGCGGGGCCACAATGGGGAATCAAAGTTTTACATAGAAATATATAGGAAAAATCTTTGAAAATCTTCTTCTCAAGAACCACTGGGCCAGAAAAGCTGAAACTTATGTGGAAGCATCCTGGGATAGTGAAGATTTTAAATCATACAAACCATGACCCCCGGGGGTTGGGCGGGGCCACAATGGGGAATCAAAGTTTTACATAGAAATATATAGGAAACATCTTTGAAAATCTTCTTCTCAAGAACCACTGTGCCAGAAAAGCTGAAACTTATGTGGAAGCATCCTAAGATAATGAAGATTTTAAATTGTACAAATCATGACCCCCGGGGATTGGGCGGGGCCACAATGGGGAATCAAAGTTTTACATAGAAATATATAGGAAAAATCCTTGAAAATCTTCTTCTCAAGAACCACTGTGCCAGAAAAGCTGAAACTAATGTGGAAACATCTTTGGATAGTGTAGATTCTAAATTGTTCAAATCATAACCCCCGGGGATTGGGCGGAGCCACAATGGGGAATCAAAGTTTTACATAGAAATTAATAGGAAACATCTTTGAAAATCTTCTTCTCAAGAACCACTGGGCCAGAAAAGCTGAAACTTATGTGGAAGCATCCTGGGGTAGTGTAAATTCTAAATTGTTCAAATCATAACCCCTGGGGATTGGGCGGGGCCACAATGGGGAATCAAAGTTTTACATAGAAATATATAGGAAAAATCTTTGAAAATCTTCTTCTCAAGAACCACTGTGCCAGAAAAGCTGAAACTTATGTGGAAGCATCTTTGGATAGTGTAGATTCTAAATTGTTCAAATCATAACCCCCGGGGATTGGGCGGGGCCACAATGGGGAATCAAAGTTTTACATAGAAATATATAGGAAAAATCTTTGAAAATCTTCTTTTCAAGAACCACTGGGCCAGAAAAGCTGAAACTTATGTGGAAGCATCCTTGGATAGTGAAGATTTTAAATCATACAAACCATGACCCCCGGGGGTTGGGCGGGGCCACAATGGGGAATCAAAGTTTTACATAGAAATATATAGGAAACATCTTTGAAAATCTTCTTTTCAAGAACCACTGTGCCAGAAAAGCTGAAACTTATGTGGAAGCATCCTAGGATAGTGAAGATTTTAAATTATACAAATCATGACCCCCGGGGATTGGGCGGGGCCACAATGGGGAATCAAAGTTTTACATAGAAATATATAGGAAAAATCTTTGAAAATCTTCTTCTTAATAGCAACTGGGCCAGAAAAGCTGAAACTTATATGGAAGCATCCTGGGGTAGTGTAGATTTCAAATTGTCTAAATTATGATCAGTGGGGTAGGGTGGGGTCACAATATGTATTACAAGGGGTAAATCTAGTAAAGGACAGAATTGTCAAAGCTTCTCAGGTGAGCGATGTGGCCCATGGGCCTCTTGTTTATTATTTCCGCCGTAGGTATTAAGAAACTGATTACACTCCGACATGTGAAACGGTAGTATCGTAATACTTATTGAATACAGCATAAAACGTTGAGATGGCCAACTTCCTTTGATCTGTGGTGATGAGTGATTTTGTCAGCTGATATGCTGGTTTGTTGTCTTTTTTTATTCATTTTGTTTTGTTTCACTTATTGCTGCTTAGTAGCTTTATTTCTCTTTAGGTGCCAAACTTGTCAGAATTAATGTCAATGAAGGGTACCCTAAAGTTATAATAAGTAAGGTCTCTCCTGTATTCATTGCTGTAGGATTTGCTTTTTTCATCCATTATTGATATTCTTGTCACTTTGATGAAGAAAGACATGCACAGAAGCAATCTTTTGCAATGATCTTCTTGCTTAAAAAATGAGCAACGTGTGTTAGAGCTTTATATAGAAAAGATCTTTTTTTCTGCAGGTGTTTTAATTTAGTATCGTGAGAAAGTGATTTAATATTTTTATGTTTTGTTCAAGTTAAAAGTACAAAAGCATGTATTAACAAAAATTTAAAAAATCTTTTTTAGAAACTTTATATATCCTTGAATCTAACAGATGGTTTCCATGCTTCAAGATGGTGGTAGCCACCTTGTTCTTTTCAAGAACAATGCAGGAGTTCTGGATTATATTATAACTTTTTTTTTTATCAGATGCTTTCATTTAATTTTTGAACATTCTATTGGCAGTTATCCTTTTTTTGATCTATATAAAACTTGAAACTGTTTTTTTCCTCCAAAATTTAACCTTAATTTATCATTCTGTTAATAAAGTAGGTGTATTTTTATTGTTATTTCAATTTTTTGTTCCAAACAATATATGATAATGTAAGTAAATTAGCTCATGGTGAGAATGGTTGCATCACAATGATAATATCAGAGTTAAAACACATGTAAAGCCTCATTTCCAGACAGAAAATCTGAGAGGGCCAATCAGAAATCTGACATGGCAACAGGCTTATCTCTCCTTCCAATCCTAGAGAGCCACAGATATAAATATTGAGATTTTTTTCTGAAAGAAAAATATTCTCACTTGACGATTTTTAGGAGGGAAATATGTATTTTCCAACAAAGAACAGATGTGCATTTGTAGGGTAAATACAAGTTTCCAGATGATATCAGTTCCTAGTTTGTGATTGTATTTGCTCCTCAAGAAGTGGGTCTGTTTGTAACACTATCCTGGTCAAATAAATAAGAACAAGAAAAAGAGAATACATATATTGGGGAGTGGGATAGCTGTTCTCATTGGCCGGCTTGCTTCGGAGGTTGAATCAGAACACTCCGCTCTAGTTGTAAAATCAGTAATGGCATTTCTTGTGAAGAAAATGACTCTGACGACCACTGTGTGATTTAATATTAAGTTTGTGTGGAATATCTCTTACGTCTACTTTGATTTACTTTTGAAGATCCCAAGTTGCTTTTTTTTGTTGTATCCCTCAAGAATGACATGTGTGAAGAAAATGATAAGAAACTTCAAGGAATTTTGTTAAAAAGGATGGCTTTAGACACCATGAAATTATCAGGTTGGTTTTAAGCAATCTTCTATTTGTCATTCTTTCTTGAACACTTAATTATTCATGTGTATTTTATTAATGGATTTAAACAAAATTGATTTTCTTTTAAGATGACATATTTAAAAATACATAGTAAAAAAAGGTTTATATTGGTGAAGCTGTGGTTATAAATTGCTTTCAGATTGGTACTTATCATTTTAAATTATTCTGAATCAGATAAATATTTGCTCACTACTTGAAATCTCCACTACAAAACAAAAAGTAATTTCATTATAATGGATATTGGTTTGGAAATTGGAAGAGCTATAAAGTATTGACACTTTATTTTCAATATTAATAGATGAATTTTCAAATTGTGATCTAGCTAGTGGGTACTTCAGTTAAGAGATGGGGGTCACCAGCCTTTAAATTAAAGCTCACTTGAGATGATGTTTTTAAGTAATTGATCCATGGTTTATCCTGTAGAGCTGAATTGGATGCACAATGAAGGAGTGGTGTAAACTTCACTTTACATTCATCATTGTGGATTGTATAAGTAGAGTCTCGCAGACTTCTAACAAGTAACTTCATTAACTTTTTAGCAACAGAACTTTTTTGGCTGTCAAATTAAAAGAGAAAATTGGGTTTAAAAAAATCCCAAGATCAAAAGATTAAACTGATAAAATATTTTTATTTTCAGTGTTTGTTTAATCTAGTCCATGAGGAACGGAACACATTTTCTATTTATTTTAGTAATGGAGGGAACCATCAGTAATTCCCCTAAGTTATTGTCTCTATCAAGTTCTGTGTTTAAGCTAATCTGTTTGGGATCCATAGAAAATGGATAGAAAAAAATATTCTTATCTAGTATTCTGTCTTTTTTCCACCAAATCCTATTGAATCATTTTCAAATGGTTCACTTTGTTCTGACAAAAGTAAATAATGATTAAATATATTAGATTTATTGAATGTGAAGAAATGTAATGCATCATCACCACAAATTCTGATTAATTGTATTTATTCTAAATTTGACTTCATCTATTTTGATTACAATACAGTTTTTGGAGGGTCTTAGTCCATTATCTAGGTCGAAAAATCCTACCAACTCTGTTTCATCCATTATATGAAACTGTGACTGAAGAATGTGATCACTGAGAATGTAATCACTTTTTTTCTTATTATGGGATGCACCATTTTAAAAAAACCTCATTCAAAATCTTTCTCCTAAAACTCAGCTGATAAACTTTGCTAACATATAGATAAACCACTAACCCCAATGAGGATGAATTAAAAAATGCTTACTTTTAAGAAATCTTTGGAATTTTTTTTTTTTTTTTTTTGAAAACGTTGAAAATTTTAAATGATCCACTTGTCAGTTTTTCGGCCCATGATTGTTGCCAGAAAAACATGTTCATTCTCAGAAATTATCTGGCCTCCTATCTCCCAGGAGTTATCTCCTATTTATATAACTTTTTATCAGGCCTTGTGTTTATCACCCTATCCTCAGGGGGTACTGCTTCTAATGGAAGGGGCCCATCCTTCCCCCTAATCTCACAATAAGACCCAGTATGCATGCTTGCATAATATCTATGTATCTTCTTCCTCGCACATGTCTGGTATAATTTCATATTTAAAGTCTCATTCACCTTCAATATCTATGTTTTTTCCCAAAGATTTCAAAAACTGATTTATATTTGGAAACTCCCGTGCCTATTTCCTGCTGAGTTAACAACTGTACATTGAATCTTAACATGCACATTATGTAAAAATATTGAAGGTATAACAGTGGCTTCATTCATACAACTGTACCTTATCAAGATCTTTTTAGCATATGCCATTAAATCATGCTTATTGCATTAATTCAAAGTATGAGTAATTCAAGAGGCATAGTGTGCCTGCAGAAGGCCTAGACAAGGCTGGAAAAGCAACATTTTTGGTAAGCTTGCTCCAGGTTTCTGAAGACGGTTTAATGCAATGTTCTCAAACAGTATTATATTTGAATGCAATAAAAAAAACTTTCTTCCCCCTGCTTTGTCCTTGCTAGGGGTGGCAAAAGTTAATTAAGTTGATGAAAAGATGCCTGTATCAGAGAATTGGTGCTGTATCAGAGTTTGGGTGCAATATTAATGATGCAGTAAAGGAATGGAGATAGTATTCGCATGTCAGGACCTGGTGTAATTACCTCTGGTATGCAGCAAGAGCAACTCCACTGTGATAAGTATGGGGTAGTAAATACATAAGAATTAATTAACTAGTCTTAGTGACCTTAATTAAATTAATGGAATGAAAGAATTTTTTTCTGTCTTTTTCTCAGAGGAACCTTGTGTCATTAATGTTACAATGGATAATTTGTGTATGATCGATGCACTTAAGGCATTAAGGATAGTATGAATTATTTGTAGATATACATATGGATGGTACCAAAAGGCAGGAAATAGCTCCCATATGGGTTTTTAAAAAAAACAACTGTCCTTCCCAATCATTACCTTGAACTCTATTGACTCAGTTAGTTTCATCAGTAATAATACAGCTTCCCAAGGGGGTATTTGAAATTTATTCTTTGTCTCCGTTTTCTTACTTCCCTGGGTTTGCTCTTCTAGTTTTTTATCTTAGATTATACTAAATGTCACCGATGTTAAGAAGTAAATTAATTAGTGCATTTTGTTCAGTTGCTGTATTGTCAGACTACGGAAGCAGATGTATCTGATTGAAGTGCAGGCTCAATGTATAATAGTTTCCATTCACAACTCAAGATGGTTCAGTATGCATTGAATGACAAATCGGAATATATTGTACTTAAATGAAATCCCCTGGTATGTCACCTCGAAAATAATCGGAAGAATATTTTTCTTGCTTTACTATTTCCAGGTTCCCTGTTACATTGTGATTACTTAAAACTTAATCTGCCTTTGTTTTTGGATTGTTTATTCTTTACACCATCCTTTAGAATAGAGGGGAACTGGAGATAGAAAAATGTTTCAGAGTAGAAGAAGACACAGATGCATTTATGAATCCCCCATTTTTCAAACTCAAATTGCCTACAGAAATACATGTGTATGATTATTATCAGAAGACTTGTTTCTTTCACTTCTTTTCATGTTTTGCAGAAAGAAATGGGTGCATCTTCTTTCAATGTGATCATTACCCAGCATTAACTGTGTTAAAGATTTTACCAAGATTATAATTTCATAAACATCTAAAGAAATTACTTAATTAAAATCATTATACTAATTTTACGAGCATAGACCACCTGAAGTAAGGAATTATCTAGATAACCCATGAAATAATCACACACAGCCCATCACGAAACATTTATCTGATTATGTTTAAAAAATCAGGCTTTTAGAGTTCAACTTTGGTATCAGAAAATTTTCATACCATTTTTTTCCCCTTTGCCTGAGATAAAAATAACACACATGTTCAACCATACAAACAGCAGTGATCTGTATTTTAGGGGCAGGCCATTTTATCTTTATACGATATGCATCATTTCAACCTGAAACGATGTGAATCAATGCTTAAGTATTTTATTAAGTTCATTTAAAGTCGAGTTTCTGGGGAATTTCACTTCCTACTTATTTTGTCAGGCCGGGATATAAGGAAATGGCAATTACCGTCAGAGAATCAAATGGGAAGGGCACAGGGGGCCTTAAGATTTTTTTTCATTTTTATTTGTTTTTAATTCACACTTTCTGATAAACAGGATTAAGAGAAAGATTTTATAGAAATGAATCTTAGTATATTGCACAGATATGATTTTTAATGCATTTCAAATGAGAGATATTTTGGTCAGTTTTCAATCATCAAGAACTGAGGTTATGTAAGTATTTGTAAAGAAGGATTTCTCTAATGTTGTTTCAGACATTGCTAAAAGAACTCATCTGCTGAATGGCCAGTTCTCTGTTGTATTCTAGCAACTATGGTTTACATGCAGTAACTAGAACTGTCAAGACAGCATAAGGCATCCTTGGTCACAAAAGACATACAAAAGAGCCTTAATATCTAAAACTTGTAGGAAGTTCTGTTTGTGCTGATGCAAATATAACACCCCTTTTTTGGCAGCAAGCAGCAGTCTTGGAAATGGTATGAAGCAGCATAGTGAGGACATATTTGTTAGGTATTTTTACAGTTTCCATTTTATAAGATTCTAAACATACATTAATCTTAAAGAATCTCAATTATATTTCACCTTGTGTGGATTTTTTTTATTTTTTTGCCAAATATCTACAGGTGTTTCTCTCAACCAACAGTAAAGCTTGATGAAAAACAGTCTCTGATTTATAACTTCATTTTTTGAGTTAAATAAAAAAATAGAAAAGAGAGAAACAAAATTTGGAGGTAAGAAAGAGAGATGTGTGAATGACTAGAGACTGCCAAGAGAGATGAAGCCCCAGGTATCTGAAGGTTTTAATGGCACTGTTCCTCCACCATTATGCCAGCAGGCTCAGATGTAAAGATGTTCATCCCTGATAAGTTCTCAGAGACATGACTGTTTATATAATGGCCCAACTCAGTGATTTATAGAGGGCTTACTGAGTTTTGTACAACCGGATGCAACTTTGGTATCTTTAATGTCAATTAAATGAAGTTTTACACAAGGTTAGCTGCTTATAAGCTGTTCTTTAACAGTGATCTCATCTGAGCCATTAATCAGTGGAAAACTAAACCTACTGATGACCTTGGATAGAAGTTTGTCTGTTGCTCACTTAGGATTCAAAGTACATTCCCCAGCTCGTAATCCCATAAAGCCAGCCCTGAATTATTTACTGTTTATACCAGAACCATGCTAGTAAACTGTAATTAAAATCCTCACACAGTTTTAGTCATAATAACTGAAAATTGACATAGAGTGAGCTTTTACAATAATAAGTTGATAAATTTTAATGCATTGATTGATTTCCCCCCTGTAAGCTTATTGAAGACAACACTCCTAGGAGGATAATTTAGTTTGCATTTATATTCTTTGGAACTGAAAAGAGAATTTTCCAATTACTTTATTATTCATTCCCATTGTTCTACTGAATTATTATGTCTGCCTGTTTGGTCAATTTTCAGGAACAAAAGGAGTCTCGTTTTTAGCTGCTGAAGATGAGAATAGTCTCGCAGAAATCTTTGGCCACTTCCTTAAAAGAATAAATTTTTTTAGTCACACATCTTTCCGACAGGAATATTCCCAGTCTGCAAGATTTTTCGGGTCATATCGTACTTGGCTAATAATTGATTACCCAAATTTGTGAAGTTGTTATTCCTCCTGTAGCCATCTCAGAGATTGGCCCCTTGTTAGTTGCTGAAATGACACACTTTTTCTTGGCTGGTGTCAGATTGTCATTTTCTGGACGGAGCGGGCAAATTAAGCCAAGTCTGTGATGGGTCTGTTGTCTTTTTTTGAACTTTCCTAGTAAAAGCTTTGATGAAGATAAACATCAAGACACAGGATAAACCAAATGTCTCTTTTGCATGATGCGATGTTAGAATATGTACACAATTTGTGAAATTACAGCAATAGTATGCTTTGTGAACAATTAATGGTGCATATACAATTATTTGCTACATAAAACTAATGATCTGTAATTGTCCTACAGGAATATTTATTGGAGGACCGTCACCCTAAACACTGTGCAGTGGATCTTCACAATTTATACAAATTCTCTTTCATTATTTCATTTTCATAATGATTTATGTAATTATGAGCAGAGATACATGTGTATTCCTGTCATAGAAAAAAGGCCTGCTAAATTATGGGTCTATACCTATTGAAGAAAGATCACAGTTTTTTTTTTTTTTTGGACTTTGCAACATACATTGTTTTACTTCTTTAAAAAGACAATGGTGAATGATAAAATTTATACAAAAAACATACTGTAAATCACTTTTTATTCGCGAGAACTTTATTTTCGCGTAATTACGCGAGACAGTGTGCTTGCGAAAATTTCATTCTCGCGTATAATAAAATTCATTAAGATTATATAAAGCAATGATCACAATTCGTGAAAATTTTGTCTCGCTAATAAGGAGTCATTGACAATCTCACGAAAATAAGGTGTCGCGAAAATTAAGTGATCTACAGTAATTGAAAAGAGAATTCATAAGGAAACAGCCTCCTTTGTCTGAGCTATCATGTCTGGACTGTAGTATTGGAAGAGAAATAGGTCTGAGGCTCAAGATTCTGTCTGATTTTAGATCAATGTATTGTGACCCTGACTCAGGTTTTGGGCAAGTTTAAGATCACCAGCAGTACAGAGGCAGAATTTTGATTCAGACAGTAAAGGCAGCATACTTGACACAAGATCAAGGTCATGCCTAACACAAGGTCAAGGTTACTGGAAGGAGCTGTCTAGCAGTTAAAACTGTGTATGTCAGATGTATCTTTTACATTATGTGTACATTTTTGTAGTTCTTTTAGTATATATATGTAATTTAAATATATTTGACACTAATATGAAATTAGTAAATTATATTTAATCAACTTTATCTTCTCTGAGTTGACACAGATATGGAGATGGTTTTCAAAATTACATAACCACAGATTGACAAACTTTTGTAGGTCAGAGGTTGGGTATGAGGCCTATATCTATTTTGGTTTATCTTTGCCACTTGGAATAATAAAATTTAGGCTCTTTGGATTCCCTTGACATTAGAATGCTTCTCTCACAAATGCATACTTAATGTCAATTATATCTTATTTTTAAATCACAAATCAAAAATTTACTTGTTCTTTCAAGTATAAATTGTATGGAATCGATAAATTTTAGATTAAATATTGACTTCAAATCTTGAACATCAGTGCTTGATTCCTATTTGGAGTATGTATAAAAGCTCTATTTCTTTTGTAATCTCTTAGTTCCATGAAATATTCAAGGTTTGTGTTCCATCAAAGATTACATTTGAAATAAGAAACAGGAGATATTTTTTGCTCATTCGCTGATGCCCGCTTTGTGTTGAGTATTTTTATCTAATATGAAAGCTCAGAGGTTTATTTCGTGGAACTAAATGTTGAAATTTCTGGTTTATGGAGTCTTTTATAACATGGTGTCACCGCTTAACAGATGGTTTTTCTCCAAAAGATTAAGAATAGAAACTAAATTTGCAAAAACACCCCAATATATACTTTCCAGCCACTATCTTGAAAATGCTCACTTTTAATTGGAAAGAAAGAGCATTTGTTTCAATTTTTTGGTAGCCTTGAAACTGCTCTAAATTTCCCAAATGGTTTTATAGCTTTAAAAAATGTTGCCTTTTTTGTCTAGCAGTGTATAAATGTTAGAAATATTGATTTGGGTAAATTGTTTTACGTATTTGAGAGCACTGATATAAATTCATCTCATTTTGTCTTTTATTCCAGAACAAGAATTGTCCGATGACAGAACACCAATTGTCCCTTGGCTCCTCGGGAAAGAAAATGATGACAGGATGAAATTTCACCAGAGACTGGTCGCCATTAGTGCTTTTCTATTCCTGGTGGCTACATGTCTCTTGTTCTTGGGAGACATACCTAAAACCATCCAGGGCAACCGAGGCATCCATCATTTGACGTACCGAGAATCTCCACTGAGGGGACTTAAATACGCTAACAATGACCACTTAAATGTCAACAATCAAAAATGTTCCCTGTATGAACACTTGAATGCAGAATCTAATATTTCTCTGGTGGATTTGCGATTGAAGAACAACTATGAATTAGCAGCAGGAGGTGACTACATTCTACCGACATTGACCCCGGGAAGAGAATATGGTTCCAAACTTCGACCTTTGAAGGTCATTGTAATGCCTCATTCTCATAATGACGCAGGATGGCTGCGGACCCTGGAGGAATATTACGTGTACACAACTAAAAATATCCTGAACAACATGGTAGATAAGTTAAGGCTGTACCCCAACATGACCTTTGTGTGGGCCGAGGCTGTGTTTCTTAATATCTGGTGGAATGATCTGGAAGATGACATGAAAGTTCAGGTACGGTATAAAATATTAAACTTTTGTGTGTTAATTATTCAACAGTCTGAAGGATGAGATTTGGTATTTTAAAAGCAGTGGTTGCAAGATTCAAAATTTATATAAAATTAATATACTGTAAACCAACTTTTATTCACGACGACTTTATTTCGCGATTTACCAGGGATAAATTGGTTCGCGACGATTAATTTTCGCGATCATGCCTTTTTTGGATTTGTTTTAATAGACACATACACTTAAATGACCAGTTCGCGGCGAGAAATATTCGTGATGACGAGGCTCTCTGGAACTTCGCGAAAATTTCTCGCATGCGAATAAAAGTTGGTTTACAGTAAATTATTTTTTTAAATATTTGAACATCATTAAAAAAAACACAGGCATCTAAGCAATTTTGTTCCAAAATGAGAGGTGTAGGACATGCTAAATACCTATTCCCCATTTTCAAAAGGTGAGTTATTTCCCCTGAAGGGAACTCTTTTACTGTGTTTAATACGCATGCGCTATAAATAAAGTCACTTCCGCGGACGTTCTTGATGTAAACATGTTCATGGTGTATGCCTCTGTCATATGGAAAAATGTTATTGTGTTTGTGAATAAAAAGAAATCTTAACTGATTCGTATTTTTTTTAATATTGCCCGCTCATAGTCTCTTTCTGGATTTGTATTAATCTGTGTAGTACTATAATAAGGTGCTGTGTGACCCCCCCCCCCCTTACAAAAAAAAAGAAACAAATTACTATTAAAATGCTGATACATATTCGAATAGGCCTATTAAAAAAAACACACACACAAACAAAAAAGCTAATTTTCGGTAGTGGATGTTCTGCAGACGGATCATCATTATTTACAAAATGTGCGGAACAAATTTTTAGTTATAAAGTTTTTACGAATTAATCTAGCCTGCTGCAGCCATATTTTCATTGTATCTCTAGGAATTTTTTGAAGACTGATGACATGTCCATCTACAGTTTTACCTCTGAAATTGCTGCATATACAGCAGTAGTTCGTCTTCCGCTACGGCCTACCGCGATACCAAGAAACTGCGTTTTTGCTCGATTGTATGTCATAACATAGAGCTTTTACTTACAAGAACACATTTGGTGACAATTAAAGGCCTATTTCATTTGAATTAACCGTGTTTCTAGAATTTTCTATTTGTAAAATAATTGATTCACTATTTAGTATTAAAACTTTGAATGGAATTCTAAATGAATAATTTAATCTCATGTGTAACGAAGAAAGACTAATTAAAATAGCATCGAACTGAATTCGTGTTACATATGTCGTTTAAAGTCTGAGCTGCATTTAATCAAAGTTTTAGTGTAGGATCTAAGCAACATGTATATTCCCGAGTAAAATACACATTTTGTTTTAGATCAGAGAATTGAAAGCAGAAACACGAAATTGATACAATAATTTCCTAGCGTATTTCTCGTTAATTAACTGAAAACAATCTTTTCTCAAGTGTTATTTATTTTTTTAAAATCCTTTCAGTGTAAGTACATGTATTTATTTTTATAAGTTATTCTTTTTTTTGCAAAGTGTGTAAATAAACGATATCAGAGAGAGAGACCCCCCCCCCCCCCACACACACACACACACACTCAGTTTATACTACGGTAAAGTTATATAAGGGAAATGTAGTATTGTATGCCAAGGAACTGGTACTGAAATAAGTATTAGCTTTTTCAACTTTGGGCAAGGTTTTTCTTTGCTTGCCAACTTTTCCAGGTAAGAAAAAAATATTTCTTTGGCTAACCCCCCCCCCCCCCCCTTTTAAAGACGATGCTACGTGCCTGGCTAATTCGTATAGCTTTCTAGAAAGGGGGGGGGCTAACAGACCCTTTATAAAATAATTTATTATCTAAAAAAATGCAAACCGTTTCCTTCTTTTAAAATTTTTAAATACAGCCTGTAAGTTGATCACTATTTTGTCGGATTATCGTAACATGTAGTCCGCGGAAGTTATGCTAGTGTTGAAGAGTTCCGATTTTGAGGGGAGATAACTCACTTTTGAAAATGGGGAATAGTATTGGTAAGCTAATAAAAGCTTTTCTTACAGTATAAAGTTTCAGGCATTTGCTGTGTGACATTTGTATTTCATGTTTTCAAAATCTCCAGAACCTGCTTGGCTAATTCTTATCAGAATTGCCACATATCAATCTAGTAGGATGAAGGAGGTTCAGTTTGTTCAAATAAAGTGTACTAATATCTACAGGGAGAGAAAATTTAGAAAAGTGAATCTCTTCAAGAACCATGCTCTTGGCCCAAAATAGAATTTTTTTTTGCTTCTTCATTGTTTCAGAGATTCAAATTTGTTCAAATGGTGGCAACTTTGGCAAAGTGGGATCCAACAAGAATTCAATGTTTAAAATACCAGTAGAAAAATACCGTATTATCCCTATTAACCGCCCGGGCGCTTAGAAAATTGCGAAAAGGGGGCGGTTATTTTGGTATTCTCTTTATAATATTTAAAGTCATATTTTAACTTCAAAAAAATCTTTTGAAAAAAAAGAAATACAAGGAACCACTAAAATAATGTCTAACTTTACTTTCGTTGAAGATCCATCCAAATTATGCTAAATTATTAATTTTCCACTGAGAAATTGGATGATAGACAAGTTTTGTTTTCACTTTCTTCAAATTTTTGATACCATTCTAGATGATTTTAATCACTGTACAGGACCAGGCCCTTATTTCCTGACAATTAAAAAAACCTAAGGGGGCACTTAAAGGGACAGGGGCGGTTAATAGGGATTATAGGGTATAGGGAAAAATATTTATTGTAAAATCTTTTCTAAAGAATATTGCTACAGGTCAAACAACATGTACAATAGCAAAAGTGAAATTTTAATGAAAAATCCATATACAAATATCATTATTTATTTTCAGGTAAGAAGATTGATAAAGAACGGACAGTTAGAGATAGTCAGTGGTGGATGGGTGATGCCAGATGAAGCTTCCACGTCCTACTACTCAATTATAGACCAACTGATGGAGGGCCATCAGTGGATCATGGAAAACCTACAGGTCAAACCCAAAAACAGCTGGGCCATTGATCCATTTGGCCACTCAGGCACAGTTCCTTACTTGTGGAAAAAGGCAGGTCTAGAGAACATGGTCATTCAGCGGATACACCAAGCTACAAAAGGCTCCCTGGCTCAGAAAAAGAGCTTGGAGTTTCTATGGCGACAACCTTGGGACATCAAAGGATCATGGGATATTCTTTGTCATGTGATGCCCTACATGTTGTATACAGTTAAACACACATGTGGGCCAAACCCCTATATTTGTATGATGTTTGACTTTCAAGTTCATAAAAGGAAACATAGAAGAACTTTTGCAGAACCGATTTCATTGAAAAATGTACAAGAGCAAGCAAGGCAACTGTATGAGCAATATCGCAGGAAAGCCAGTCTTTACAACTATGACACGATTCTAGTTCCGCTAGGCGATGACTTCAGATATGATTCAGCTCAGGAATGGGACCAGCAGTATCAGAACTATAACATGCTGATACAGTACATGAACGCCAGAGATGATTGGAGGATTGACGTACAGTTTGGAACACTCAAAGACTATTTTAAAATCCTCAGAAAGTCTGAGAAACAAAAAACAAAACAACACAATGATAAAAATTTCCCCACAGTCTCTGGTGATTTTTTCCCTTATTCTGATAAAAGCAATGCTTATTGGAGTGGATATTTTACCACTAGACCACATGCCAAGAAATTCAGTCGGGAAGTAGAGAGAAATTTACATGCTGCCGATGTCCTGAATACATTAGTAACAGGTTATAGTCAGAAATGGAACGTAAAATACCATACTTATCATGACATTTCCAATTTCCTGCAACAGTCCCGCAGAAACCTAGCTTTATTTCTACACCATGATGCCATCACAGGAACATCAAAAGAGTATGTAATGCAGGACTATGAAAACAAACTTTTCCATTCTTACAATTCTACTCAGAAAGTTATTTCCAATTCAGCCCAGTTTCTTCTCACAGGGGGAAACCTAGAGCTGCCCATGATACTGGAGCCAGAAGAAGTGAAAACATCTTATGACTCAGTGACCAAAAAACGAGTGATACACGTTACAAAAACAGGAGTTCCTGTCATTTTGTTCAACTCGCTGGCGAAAGCCAGGGTAGAATTGACATCTCTTCTGGTAGACACTGATAAAGTCATTGTCAAAACAAGAGATCATGAAGAGATTCCCTATCAACTCAATCCAGTTTGGCAAACTAGTTCATCGGTCCATCATAGTGAATTTGAGATCATCTTTCTGAAAAAATTAGCTGCCTTATCTTTGGAAGTTGTGTACTTATTTAAAGCCGAGGAAGAAATTAAGTCTGTTTACCCAGCAAAAATTTCTATTTTCAATTCCATGGAGTTTAACATTGCTCCAGAATTGGTGTTTGAGAGGGAAAAGCCCAGATATTCTGGGAGTTATCAGACAAATATTCCCCTTGAAAATGAGTATCTGAGAGCCGAATTTGATCCTAAGACAGGTTTACTGACAAGCCTGAAAGATAAAAGAACAGGAAACATAACCAAAATGGATTTGTCTTTCATGCACTACAAATCTCAAGGAAGTGGAGCATACTTGTTCTACCCAAGCGGAGAGGCCAAACCTCTTCATCTAGGGATTCCCATCATCCACGTAATGGAGGGCCCCTTTATGTCCCAGATTGAAGTCGTTCATCCAAATCTGAGACACAGTGTGAAGCTCTTCAGTTTAGCTGCGGAACAGGCCCATGGCCTCCATGTGCAGAACTTCATGGACATGAATGGAAACATAATGAAAAACCTTGAAGACTCAGAAATTATCATGAGATTAGATACTGACATTAAAAATTCAATCTTTTTTACTGATCAAAATGGATTCCAGATGATTGCTCGAAAAAGTAATCCTAACCGGTATGTTGAGTCCAATTATTTTCCAATGACTAATATGGGCATTGTGGAGGATGCTCATAGGAGACTGACTGTCCATTGTGCCCAGTCACATGGGGTAGCTGGGCTACACCCAGGGCAGTTTGAGGTCATGCTGGACAGAAAATTAACGTATGATGATGACAGAGGCCTGGGGGAAGGTGTACAGGACAACAGACCAACACAGACTGAATTTATAATTCAGTTAGAATACAGAGAGGACATTGCAGCAGATACAAACGCTCAGCAGATCTCAAAGCAACATAGCAGTTTAGAATCATTTACATTCCCAACCATTCTAAGTATGCAACTTAATGACTTATTACAGAAGCCTATCATTAAACTATTTACGTCTGTCTCCACAGACATGTTTAGGGAGGAATTCCAACCGGTGGCTTCCCCACTGCCCTGTGATATCAGTCTAGTGCATTTGAGAAACTTGGTCAACTCTGAACTAGATTACACTAATTCCAGTCTAGTGTTGCACCGCAGGGGTTACAAGTGTGGCTTCCCTACCTTAGATGTCCAGTGTACACTAGGTTCATCTGTATCATTATCTTCCATTTTCAAAGACTTGTCAGTGAGCAGTATTAAAGAGGTTTCTCTGACTCACATGTATGATAAGCAAACACTCTCACCCAGTTCAGAGTTAAACATTCCACCCATGGAACTCATAACTGTACAGTTTTCACTGGATAGCAATAGGTAGCAGTTGTACGTTCATCTAGATTATTGGAAATGTCTTAACTTTTATGAAATATCATGTGAATCTTGTAATTAATTATTTGACCATTATTTAATCGGATGATCAATAGAGGATTAAAAATTTAAAAAAAAAAACAATAAAACAAGTAAAGTTATAAAGTCATTATATTAACAGAAGCAGTAGATATTTATGTTTCCTTTTGAAGTAAATCATTTCGGATTAAATGTAAATGAAAGATATTATTGTGCAATATTGTAATGTTCCTATTCATTTCTATGAGGTATTTAATTGTAACTATCCATCATCAGTGTATATTTATGAAGATTAGACTTTCATATTTAGATATAGCCTCAAAGGCAGAAAAGAACCTATTTTTACCATGATATTTTTTGTATATTTTGTTAGAATGCAAAAATTCAATTTCAATATTTTTGAATGTGAAAAATTTTCTTTACATCTTGTCTTAAAAATCTGCACCACCCAATAAATTTTTGCTGTCAAGCAAACCCTTTCATTTACCATATGACCAAATCTTAATTTAATTACTAGTATTTTTGGCATTTAATTTTTTTTCAATTTTCAAACATATTTTGGTGCATATATGCATTTACATGAATAGTCATTGTACATCCTTTATATATGTATGTCTATGAGAGTAAATATTGGCATTATTGTTGCTGTACATGTATGTTTACATTGCAACAAACAAAACGGTGTAAATTTTTTGCATATACACAATTATGATCCTATTTTTTCCCTTTGATTCAAACATTCCACCTCATAACTACATGATCTTGGAGCTTGCATGATCATTGTTTTGTGTATGCAAGTTTGCAGTGTTATATATCAGATGAAATCACGTGTGTTATTGCTACATATGTCATATTCTTGTAATTCTTCCTATATGTTTGTCATTCATTGAATGGATATGTAAAAATAAATAAACAGGAAAAAAGTTGGCCTTTTTATTGTCAGTAGACAAAGTTTTATAACTCTTTCAAGGACAAGAAAGATGCGCATCATCATCAATATTACTCTCTCTCTCTCTCTCTCTCCTTTGTATGAAGGTGATATAAACAAACTGATTAACTCACACTCAGTAGAGGTTTACAGATGAAAACAAATTTCAGAATATGTTAACTTGGTACTAAAAGTGTAATATAAACTTTAAATAAAACAATATACCAAGCCAGGTGCATTTTAAAAGTCAGGTAAAAATCAGTGATTTTACTGATTTTTCACCATGTTGCGTTTCCTCTTAAAAACCTGGCTAGGTATATTGTTTTAAAGTTTATATAACACTTTTAGTACAAAGCTAACATATTCAGAAATTTGTTTTTATCTGTAAACCTCTACTGGGTGTTTATATTTGTCCATATTTGTTATTTTATTGAAGTATTAACTAATATTTTGCAAGTCTATTTCATTTTCCAAGTCTAAGGAGAAAAAATTCCAAGAATTATCTACTTTTCTAAAACTGTGAGTTGATATTACTAGTAAGTCCAAAGAAAAGATTTGTTTTTGTCATTTGTCCTTTAATTATTTACTTGCACGGATGGCCACTGGAAATCTTATGATATGAAAACTGAATATTTTGTGATAAGCAATGTAAACTAAGCCCAAACTACCGGATGCAATTTTGTAACAATCAAAGTTCAGAGAATGATGGCACGTGCTTTAAATAAACAAAACTTGAAATAATGAGAACAAATTAATTTGCGTTTTTGCAGAAACTTGATGTGAACGTTTTAAGAATATGCCCGTGGGTTGAAAATTCTTAACCATGACATAAATATACAAAATATTAAATTAATGTTTGAAACATAAATTTCAGGGATAATTCAATTCATTTTTCTCCCTCCCCCTCTCTCTCTCTCCTTGTATGAATTTTTTCTTAAATTGAATATATTGATCAAACCGTTACATTCACAATACATGTATAATATCTATTAGAGGTTTTTAGTACAATGTGTTGAATTATTTAAATAACCTTGGTTTACGTTTGATGGTGAACTTGTAGTAACCATTGACAAGATAGACTTAGCACCTGCAAATACCCTTACCAATTTGTGTAAACTTTTTACCAGGATTCGAAGTAAAAACTGTGCATAATATATATGAGCAATGCAGCCGAAATATTACCAGATCGAATTTATCTTTTTAGTTCATCTTTTCGCAATATTTGACAGTTTGTGTTAGATAGTTCATTTGCAAACCAGGAATCAACCAGCATCACTCATATTTTCAATAAAATATTTATTGTTTAGGGAAAACTGATTTTGATGAAATAGTCAAACAATGTCGATTGCATTTAAAATTTGAGGTTTCCTTCTTTATTTGCACCATTTTGCACTAGTTGCTTTTGTTCAAAACTCATTTGCAGGACCACGATTCATAGTGTGATGAAAAACCAAAACACATTAATTTTATCGTAGTGTAGTGAAAGACTGATGGTGAGGAAATTCCAAGAGAACTTCCATTTAGGAACATTGCAGTGCAATACAAGAGGCCTTTTTGTACGGCAATTCAGGTTTTTCCCTCAAGTAAACACAAGGTCTCTTCATGTACAGCGGAGGAATTTGCCCACCACCACCCTTCAAAGCACTCTCTACCATCGGCTCATACGCAGAAGGATAAAACGTACGCTGAACTAGGACCTGGGGTCCCCCGCAAATAGTTCGTCATTTTGCGTAGTAATAAAACATTCTAGGAACTCTCCAGGCATTAAAGGCACAAAAGTAAATTCATCGATATCATCAATACGGAGACCTCAGGTCACCTTATATATTAATTGAATTTTATATGATAGACAATTTTCTTTGTCTTACTCCAAAATAATCATATTTATAACTTTATAAAGATCAACTTTCTAATATATACATTAGCAGAAACGTGAAAATAATAAAGGGTGACCAGAGGTAACCTAATATTTTACATCAATAGGGGGACCAAAGATCACCTTACATTGTACATCAGTAGGAGGACCAGATATTAATATTTAACATCATTAGGGAGACCAGTTGCCACCTTATATTGTACATCATCAGAGGGATCATAAGTCACCTTACATTTTAAATCAGTAGGGGTCCAAAGGTAATCTTTTATTGCACATAATAGGGGGACCTTGGGATACCTTATATCGTACATCATTTGGGGGACCAGAGGTCACCCTATAATGTACATCAGTAGGGGAACTACAGGTAACCTAATATTGTACTGTACATAAGTAGAGAGACCAGAGGACACCTTATACTGTACATCAGTAGTGAGACCAGAGGGCACCTTATATTGTGCATCAGTGGGGGGGGGGGGGGGGGACAGGACACATTAAACAAAACAACAGTAGGGGTACCAGTGGACACCTTA